CATGGACTTTGCCCTCACCCCACCCCACGAGGCACACACATAATGTGCCCATTGTATATATGCATGCACGCCCATGCAGGCCCGTTGGTGCTCTCTTTTGCACCACACGCACCGCTGCCGTCCTGCCTGGCTGCATGGGCGGAGCACCGTAACTGTTTATTATTATTATTATTATTATTTGTAATTTTTTTAACTTGCTTTTGCTATGAGCGTTTATCTATTTCTTACTAACTCATTCCTTTTTTTTTTGCATATTTAAATTTATTTTCCTGTTTTCTTCTTTTCTTTTTTTAAAAAAAAATTTATCTGTTCTTTTTTTTTCTAATCTTTTTTTTTTCCAATCTTTAATCCCCTCATCCCTTCTTTTTTTCCTTTTGGGGCAATCACTGTGGAATTTCTTTTTTCTTTTCTACTCTTCCCTCTTTAATTGTTTCTGCTGCACTCCTCCTGTGAGGGGTGCCGTGTGTTTCCGCCCAACTGCTCCACTCGCACACCCACCGACACGCTCATGACGACGGCCCTGTGCGCCTCGCCTGCCGCACGCATGAGGAGGGGCCGCGACGAACGGCGCGCTGAGGGAGCCGTGACGTGTGGGCGTGCGACGAGGGCCTGTGGGGCGGAGCACACATTTCTTTCCCTCTTGTTTTGTTTTCTTTGCGGCCAGGGCTGGCAGACATCCGCAGCGCCACACACACACAGCCACACTCTGCCGCCGTGTTTTTAAGATTTTTTTTTTTTTCGTGTGCATTTCACCGTGCGTGATTGTTGAGGTCGGGGCCGTACCGCATGTATCGCTGCCATCCAGCTGTGCCTATTGCTCTGTTGATGTGCCTCCCTGTGTTCCTCTCTCTTTTCTTTCCGTTTCTCCAGCACACACACATAAATAGTTGCACAGTGCTCTCCTCGTTGTTTTTGCTCTGCTGGTTGAGGGCGTCGTTTTTTGTGCTGACGCGTGACGGACGGTGTCACGATGGCTTCCTCTGACGATGGCAGTCGCTGTGCTCTCGGCACACATCCACACACTCTTCCTTTTCTCTCTGTGGGAGTGATTGCAGCAGGGCATTGCTGCGAGCGTGATGGGGACCACGACAGCGTCACCCCTCGAGAAGGCCCACGCTCCGTTAGTTGTGGAGCGGCGAGGCGGTTTGCCTGCAGCTTGACTGACAGAACCGCACGGTTGTTTTATTGCGGTCACTCCGTCGGCATCACCCGCTGCGGTGGTGTCCGCAAGAGCCGCAGCCCCGATGAGGATGGCCTTGTAGTTGTCTGGCAGCTCAGAACTTCAGGCATTTCGCCCCTCAGGATTGCCCTTGCTGCTCGACTGGCGCAGCAACAGCCCGACATGGTTCTTCTGCAGGAGTGCAGGCACGAGAGTGCCCCAGCGACGAGGCTCATTAGCTGCGGTGACTTCCACCAGGCCTGCAGTGGGCGTGCCGGTGGCGTGGCCTTCTTGGTGCGCCACAACTTGCCGTGCGAGCGCCTGTTGCTCGTGGCACAAACTGCGTGGAAACCAATGCCTTCCGCGTGTGCCCACCGGCCTGCCCCAGCATGTACGTGGTGAACCTCTGCAACCCTTCAGGATTGCCCACGCTGCTCACTTTGCGAGCACCATTCGTCGTCTTGGCCCCGCAGCGGTAATTTGCGACCTGAATTCACACCATGAGCTGCGGGACGGTCGCTCACCATCCACGACGGCAGGAGAGGACCTCGCCGCCACCTCAACCGGCATGGAGATTGAGCTGTCCGACGACCCGGCGCAGGCAACGTGGATCAGCGGCCGCAGCGTCTTGTTTCCCGACGTGACTGCGCAACGCGTGCTGCGTGTCTCCCACTGGACGTCCACTAGTTTACATGGACTCGGACCACCATCTGCCATCCCACACTGCAGGGACGGAGGACGGCATCCCGCGACAGGCAGGCATGCTGCCACGAAGAAAACATGACACCTTTGTCCTGCGTGAAGCTGAATGTGATGCTTCCACCTCGGCGTGTGGAACACCTCTGGCCGCTGTAGTCACATGGCTGGAGATGCACCGAGGCACCGTACGAGCGGCAGCCGTGACAGTTCCACATGTATCTGGACGGACGGAATGGAGCAGGCCGAGTGTGTTGCAGCGACAGCCTGCCTCCAGCTGAAGTGCTCCGCAAACGGGAGGACCGCAATCATGCCCTCCGCGGTGGCTTCTCCATGCTGCTAGAGGTCCGTGCGAAACAGCTTGGTGCCCTCTCGATCCCAGGCCTGTGATACCCCGAGGCATGGCGGCGCCACGTCCCTGCCCTCTGGGATCGGCTGTGCTGCGGTGCTGTTGGGACCGCGTCTGTGCTCTGCCTCCGCCGTAACCTCTTCCTGACTTGAATACCGCCACTCCTTGCCGACCAGCAAGCGGCTGATTGACGTCCTCCTGCTCACTCCTCGGCAGACCGGCACGCGCCCTGCGGATCACAAGCAACCCTTATTTCGGTGGCGCTGCCCTCTCACACTGAAGAGGCAGGACCGCCCCGACCTCCTCCGGAACCTCCACCTGGCGTGTCCACGGCACCCCCTCGTAGAACGACGAGCAGCAGATCAACGTCGCCCGCCCAAGCTGCTGCAGCGTCCTCTCGTCCGTCCACAGTACGAAGGCACACGCCCGACGCACTAACCCTGGCACTCCAATCGTTGCAGAAGGCCTCACATGTGGATCCTGCGACAGCTCCACGGTCTTCCCAACAGGTGCCTCACGCGCAGGTCACCACCAAAAATGTCAAGCGTATCAACGAGCAAAAAACGGACAACGCACCTCTGCAGGCTCCAATGACAGCCGTGGCCCTTCAGTCACTCCTCTGCTGCAACCCCCACCAGCCGCTGAGCCGCCTACAATCCACGGGAGGCCCTGCCGCACACGCTGTGGGAATGCCCCCGTCCTCGACAACTGAGCATCCGACTCTTTGGGAACATCACCTCTCGCACGACAGCATCATTCAAAAAGGAAAAACTGGCCACATCGCCACGGACAGCCCGCAGGCCATTAACGAACAGTGGCCGCAAAGTATAACGAAACAAATACTTCCCTTTTCTCGGCATAGAAAAACGTCACCTTCACACTCGCAATTGCCACCAATGAATTCATTGCGTAATACCGCTCCGAGCTGCAATACTTCCTGGTGCCATCCACGTCCCTTGTCGACACATCGATGCGGATGGGCGCCCATCATTCCTCCCAATGACGGTGCATGTCTGCGACGCACCCTCAAATCCAAAAGGCACGTCCCTCACCACAGCCGGGATCGACTTCGCCCTGTCCGCACGCATCGCCTTGTCAGAGGAGCAGGAGCACGTCAGGCTGGCAGCAAAGCACCCGCCGGCACAACACATCATAACCAGAAGCACCAGCAGCATTGCAGACCGTGAAGTGACGTGGATCAACTGACGCATGCTGTACGTGAAGGAAGACCCTTCATGGCTTGACAAGAATAAGAAACACTGACAATATCTCAAAAGAAAAGAAAGAATAAAATAGAAAATCATACGTTTGCAGTCAAAGCAAACTGCCAATCAAAAAAAAAAAAAGTAATGCGTGCACTCAGCCACAAAATCAAAAAGGAAAACAATAAAACAAAAAGCCGAAGCGTGGGACGACAAGCGCACACACACTCTCATTGCTCCCGTAAGGCAAAACACACACACACAGAGGGAGAGAGAGAGAGGTCGCCCACTCAATGCAATGGAAACAAAACAGAAACAGTTACGGTGCTCCGCCCATGCAGCCAGGCAGGACGGCAGCGGTGCGTGTCGTGCAAAAGAGAGCACCAACGGGTATGCATGGGTGTGCATGCATATATACAATGGGCACATTATTGTGTGTGCCTCGTGAGGTGAGGTGAGGGCGAGAGTCCATGCAAGGGGACACACACAGAGAGTGAGAGAAGGACGAGTGTGTGTGCGGGCGGTGCACGGCTCTCTCTCCCTCACTCTCACGCGGCCACCACCGCAGCCGCAGCCGCACACGCAACAAGAAGAAGAAGCAAAAGAGGGGAGGTGGTGTGGGAGACCGCGGTGCTGCCGTCACTGTTTTGTTTATTCGTCGTATCAGTTGTGTTGGCGGTTGCTGTTGTTGCTTTTGTATCTTCCCCAGTGCTTCCTGAGCCTTCGTCTCGGTGGCTTTTTGGTGTGGCTGCGGTCTCAGGCGGTGGAGCATTTTTTTCATCTTCACTCGTGGTGTCTTCGCCATCCTGTTTGCGGGAATCAAAACCTTCTTCTGGAGGCGATGGAAGATTTCCTTCCGCAATTCCCTCAGGCAGTGTTTGCTCTCCGTTAACTGTTGTGAGTGGATTCTCTGCAGGTGGTCTCTTATCGGTGTCATTCTTTTCTTCAACTTCCGTTCGCAAAGGATTGGCATTTGATAACTGACTGCCGGAAGGTGGAATGCTCCCTGCAGGTACATTTGCCCGGCCTGTTTCCTGCCCGCTGCCAGTTAAATTCCTTTCCCCGGAACCTGTGTCTGGTAGAACTGTTCCTCCTTTATTACTCTGCCCTTCTCTTCTTTTTTCTTCTGCCTCATCCGTCTCATTATCATCTTCATCACCACCTGCATCATCTTCATCATCATCGTCTTTATCTTCCCCTGTAGGTTTCAAAGATGGGGGTGATGCTGTCTCTGTAACACCTGGTGCTCCATCTTTTAATTCTTGGGTTTCTTTTCGAGGCGTTCCAGGTTCTGCTGATCCCGGCGGAGGTTCATCACCACTCCCAGAAACTGCCCTCTCCTCCTCGTCACACCTACCACCGCAGCACCGCACAACAGCACGCAGAGGGCACACACCAGCGGCACACGGCCAGTCATCATCATCGCCATCACTCCTGTCACTTGCGTGCAGCCTTCAGCACAATTTCCCCGTCAACGCAGAGCAAAAGCAGCGA